ATCAAGTTTTTACTTGATTTTGTCGAGTACTAGTTATGGATAGAATACATATTAAAAAAATGTATTTTTTGCCTAACTTAATCTATAGATGTTAAAAGATGTTGATAAAGCTATAAGATGCGCAAATCTTAATTTAACCCCAATGATTGATGGAAAAGGTCTTAAAGTGCCTATTCCAAAGTAAGTTATTTGAGCTTCTCTTCAACGACTTTCTTTTACAATTGCTCAGAGTTGTGCCGATTGTTCTCACCACTTCCATAGAGTCACGACTGAATTTCGTGAAAAAATGATTAAAATCGCGTCCAAAATTGCAGAAAATACAAAAACAAAGCTTCGCCTTGCGAGGCAGGACGGATTAAAAGATTTGAAAAAAGACAGTAAAAGTGGATTACCAAATGATGAAGCAAAATTATTGGAAAAACAGGTATTCTCGTTATTTTTTATACGTTAATGGATGAAAGCTGCTAACCACAATGGAACTATACTTTTTTTTTTTTTAAGCTTCAATTATTAGTAGATAAATATGCAAAGGAAGTCGATGATTTCTTTAAAGCAAAATCTAAAGAAATATCAGGAAATTAATAACAAATACTTAAAAGGTGTATATATGTTTCTAAAAGTTTGCATGCTTTCCTAAAAGAGATTAGCAGACTTACACGAAACGAAATATAATAAAATTTTGGAGACATGATCATAAACATGCTATATTATAAGCTGAGACATTGATATCAACAATGACGTTTCATGGCCAGTCCGAGATCCATTATCCTACATCTATATTAAGGATTTGTTTCGTTATATTTCACCAATTTAAGATTTTTTGTGTAGCTAAATTTGTCTTCTACATTCGCGTACTTGTTATGCTGTGTTACGAATTATATAGCCAAACAATCTAATAGCCTATAACACACTATGATAATTATAATTTACAAATAAACAATTCGAACCGTTTTATTGGTCTACTAGGTGCATATTTGAAATTTTGTTTAACATTCTTTCGAAAATAAGTCTTTTTTGCTTTACCCCGACACAAATCTTTTAATAAAAAAAAAAAAGATTCTCCCGATAAACCGGACTTTTGTCACTTTTAACAGAATTATTTATTCCTTGACTAACCCATTCTTCCTTCCTTTGACAAGCCATTTCTATCTTAATAATGTCTCCAAGTGCAGTTACAGCCACTAATGGCATCGGCATCGCGAATTTGCCGAACCAACGTCACAAGATTGTAGCAAAGAGAGGAACTAACTTTACTTTAATGGTTGTTGGTAAGTACCTTTATTGTAGTTCTTTAAGATCTCATTCTGAGAACGTCGCAAAATTTTTAAGGAATGCTCCTTAGTGTCTAGATGAGTTGATGTCAAGCGAATACTTTAATTCACAACAAAGTTATATCTAAACTTGTTCTGTTTATTATTAGGTGAATCTGGTCTCGGAAAAACGACTTTTATCAATACTCTTTTTACGACTACCATCAAGGAAAAGAAAAATCA